TCAACTTAACGATAAAAATATGTCCTTTTTTGAAAATCTCGTATATTTTATTTTAGATTTTCAAGAAGATTGAAAAATATTATTCTATTTTTTTAAGGCTGAATTGTAGGGAATTGGATAGATTTAATAATTAATAATCAAAGATAAAGATTTTGTTAAACAGAGGAGTTTGTTTGGAGTAAAACCCCCTTAGGATTCACCTTACAAAATCCTAACTAATATAAATATATACGAATGTAAATTTGTTTGTTTGCTTATTACTATTTCACGCTCTAACTATTCAATCGATCATCATAAAAATTTTTACACACGTTGTTAGGACTACAGCAAAGGACATAGACCACCTTTTATCCATATAAACAGATACTGTTCCCCAGGGATACAAAAAGTGAGTTTTATATGGCCGTCGATGATCTTTGACACATATTTAAGACATCAACGAGAGTGAAGAGCCGCGAGTAAAACTTATCATGAAATTTTCTACACATTGTTAGGGAAACACAAAAGGACATAGGGTACCTTTTATACAGAAAAAAGACTAGTGAAATATAATTTAAACCTTATTTTGCGAATCTATTATATGGCATTCAGAATAAAATAATTCGANTAAAACCCCCTTAGGATTCACCTTACAAAATCCTAACTAATATAAATATATACGAATGTAAATTTGTTTGTTTGCTTATTACTATTTCACGCTCTAACTATTCAATCGATCATCATAAAAATTTTTACACACGTTGTTAGGACTACAGCAAAGGACATAGGCCACCTTTTATCCATATAAACAGATACTGTTCCCCAGGGATACAAAAAGTGAGTTTTATATGGCCGTCGATGATTTTTGACACATATTTAGGACATCAACGAGAGTGAAGAGCCGCGAGTAAAACTTATCATGATATTTTCTACACACATTGTTAGGTGAACAGAAAAGGACATAGGGTACCTTTTATACAGAAAAAAGACTAGTGAAATATAATTTTAACCTTATTTTGCGAATCTATTATATGGCATTCAGAATAAAATAATTCGATGTGGTCTGTATTCTGTCGAAACTGCCAGACGCGGATCGCGATTTNCTTGTTCGGCAAACGATTTAATTAAAGCGATAAAAAAAAAGAAAAAATAAAAAGAAAAAGGGAGCTGAGCCGGTAGCAGCAATCGCCAGCGCTTTATTTAAAAAGCTTAAAGGCAATTAATCCCCAAGTTGGCAGAATTAAAATTCATTCTGGTGCCTGAGAGCAAATATGTACCGTGTACACGAAAATCTGCTTGTAGGAACGTGCAAAGCAAAATTTCATAGAAAGCGTATTTGTTGAGCATACAGAACGAAAAGTACCCCCAAGTTTAGAGAGGTAATATTTACTGACAGTTATACATTTCCCGTTAAATAAATCGTGAACCAATGTTTCGTCCGACATAATTCGGGAGAAAGTTCCCAATAAATCGAACTACGCATTGGCTAATAAATTAGACCAATAAATGTCACAAGTCAATTATCGAAGTATCGACATTTATACCTATTATACAACTCCACGTGTAAGGGGATTTTCAATAGAACGATAGCAAACTATAACGATAATGTACGAAGATTTTTCGTTAGTTTGTCGTTACAGTATATATGTATATCAATAAATTTTAAAAAAAGTTTCTTCCCTTTTGTGTATTGCCCTTTTTAACGAGACACGCATAGGCCTGCTGATGCTAATAACAGAAAGGTCTGATCCAATTTTACAAGGATATTAAGTGATTTACCTATAAGAATTCTGCAATCCATCAGAGATTATTGTCAACACAGGTTTCATCTTTTGGTGACATTACCCAACAGAAACGAAATAAAATTCATTTTTGACATAAAAGAGGTTCAAAGATTTTGTATTTTAGCACATACAGGGGGTTGCTAAAATTATTACACGATTTTGAAATACTAATAATAATAATACAAGCGGTTTTACGATTTAATTGAAGTAAACAATTTAGAAAACTTTGGATAATAAAATAAAATACTTTATTTTTATGCTAAGTACTTTTTTTTTGCACCATTTAGTCGAGAAATGATTTATGTAAAGCCTGAAAAGGTGGCAACCCTAATTACATCCTTCATTCTACTATAATATAATCAAACAAATGTACAACAGATCAATTGTTAGTTAACTTTTAAAGTTTACCAAGTATCCACAAAGAACAATAGTAAAATAAACCGTCGGACGCTGCAGTATTAACATCTTACTCAAACAACGACATTGAAATTCATTGTTGACAACCATTGCCATATTTTAACGCGAATTTAATCTTAAAATTAAATTTGAACAGATACGCACATGTATACACACACACATACTCACACACGTAGGTACCTATACACACATCCGAGGACGACACAGTGGCCCAATATTTAGTTATTTGCTGGAGTACACAACTTGTTGACTGAATAAATAGGGGTTAGTTTTCATCCCCGATAGATATGTATTTGCACAAATGTTACGTGCCTATAGTACCTGACAAAACACAAAAAAACAGGGAAAGGATTCAATTGTTTCGAGTTTTATAAACACATCTTCGATGGCTTTTATCTACTAACATTTGCTCGAATCATAATAAAGCATGATAGAAACAAATTGTNATAATTTCACAAGATTGTCATAAATCATTTTAAAAATTGGCACAGATGTATTATTTTAGCCAAAAACTGTTTTACATTTTTTACAGGGGGCACCACATAAACGAAGATGAAATTGAGTAATTTCGATTATAAAACATGATATAAGATAAAATTGTTATAACTACTTGTTTCAAATTGGTAATTTTAATCGTTTTCGAGAAAAACGCAGTTAAACATTTCAGTTTTCATAAATTAATTTCAGAGTTATTATAATTTATACCTACTATTTAATACGTTTACTTATTATATTAAATTTTTTAAATTTCAACTGTCAATAACTACTATTGGATTTAAAAAATATCGAAATTTCCAAAAAAACTATGTTAAACCATGTATTGCTATAAAATTTTCCGAAACGTCTAAAGATCTTGTATGTAATTATATGAATTACAAAGGGGAATTTAAAAAACTAAATAAAAAGAGGTAATAAAGCAAAGCAAGCAAAAAATATTCATAAAAATATCATTACAGAATTATTAAGAACATGTAAACAAATAAATTTCTCTACGAACAGTAGAATTACAAGCTATGAAGTAAAAGTCATGCGGCTAGGTAACCAACAAAGGGGCGTCCCGTGGTGCCAGTTATGTAGTATTTACAAAATGTAAACTAAATGTACAAAGGACCCTACGCAGGCTTATTGTACAATAGATCTCGTACAAATTAGAATCGGAAATGTTCCATAAAGTCAACAGAAGCCGAAACGGGACCAAGTAAATGGGAAGTCCAGGTGTCAAAGGACAATGGTACCGAAAAATCGTACAACGCCCCACAATTTCGCATTTAAAATACGACTACACTCTCATCATAAACAGATATATCAGTGTTAAGATGAATGAATTGACATTTGAATGGAATCCTTCCTGTATGAGAAACATGGATTAGCCAAATTATGGACGCAGATAAAAAACTGCAATGAAAATGATAACGTAAATCAGAATATTTACTTATGTGGTGTTACATATATGCCACCAAGACGGTACTTGACCAGGAACAAACATCATCATAAGGTGGTCAACCTTAAGACTGGTTGTACACGCACATCCACGCTTTCTTATCCTGAGTTTATCTTCGCATTTCCCTAAAACTAGAACAACCCACATCCTTAACTATTTGCGAACAGTAATCTAATCTAGGTCTACCTCTACCCCTCCTAACACCCGTGTCTGCCTCTAATATGTCTCTAGACTAGACTAGACCTTCATGCCTGAGAAGGTGTCCTACTGACCTATCTCGCCTATTTCTTATTGATTTCCATAGAGCCCTTTGTTCTCCTATTCTTTCTATCACCTCTTCATTTCTAACCTTTTCTATCCTCATCATCCGACTGCAACACCACATTTCGAACGCTTCTAACCTTTTATTCTCCATCGGGCCCACTGTCCATGTTTCGCACCCATACAGCTCCGCGCTCCAAACATAGGTACACCTTTAACAATTTTTTTTTAATTTCTAAGTTAACCGTTCGCGAGCATAGATCCTGCGCTATTCTCTGCCTTATATCCCTACTGCTCCGTCCTACCTGACTTATCTGACTTCCTAGATACCTAAATTCAGTCACTAATCAGGTACTTGTACGGAAATAAAAAATTAATTATCGTCAAGTTAGCCAGACTTCATCCACTACATTTTTTTAATAATAAAAATAATAATATACCTGTGGCGAATAAAAAAAGAAATAGAAAATGTACAATTTTGTTTATATATTTTTAATACCATCATTAAATCAATACCGAATAGTAAGGTGTGCTTTGAAAAGTCATTTTTGTATGACATCAAATTTGATTTCATTCTGTCTTTAATTTACTTTACACAATATCATTCTGCATTCTAAAGATGGACAGAAACGCAAGCGATATCTTCAACATGAAAGAGGCGGAAGAAGGGAACGAAGATTGGACTAGAATTTACTCAGTAGGTGGTGCTCCGTCTGGGAGAAGGAACAGGTTAAGGACAAGTTCGAGCAATGTGTTCCCGAGCGGTGTTCTTGGTAATCCCGAAACGAAAGTGGACGAAACAGATAAAGAAGATGGTGATCCGAAAAGTAATGATAAAGACGAATCGCTACTGCACTTGTCAAATATGAAGAGAAATCCATTGACAGGTGACGGGATGCTAAGCAGTGACATGCAAGACATTAAAGGACGTAGAAAATTTTCGAATATTTGACTTTTCATATAGTATACACATTACCACATAGGTGTTTTACACTTAGCTTTCCAAATTATCCCCAATGAATAATTGAAATACACTCATAAAATGTGAGCATTTACTTGTTTATATGTATGTTTACTTATGTTAGTTGTATTTAATGTTTTACTTTTGAAGAAATAAATAAATGATTATCAACATTTCCTCACCTACGGATAAATCTCTTCAATTTTGATTTTTTTCCTGAAAATTAAAATCTAACGTAAATCCTAATAAGAATATATTGTAGCGACACGAGCGCGGGCATACGTGTGTGTGAGCGGCTTATCGATTGTTGTACCTGCGTTCCGGGAAAGCAATTAAACAGTTCGAAGATAACGAAACTTTCCGGACGGCTCGAGAATGTTCCCGAAAGGAGGCAAGGGAATATAAAAAAGAAGAGACGATCGCCGAAGTAGAGTAGAAATAAATTGACCGTTGCAGAGGTGAATCAAGAGATAAATTGAAAGTGATAGAAGTGAAATTAATAGGACAGTGAATAGTAACAGTACTGTAAATAAATAGAATAATTACCGAAGTAGTAATAATTTAATAATGTTTTTAAGTTTAATAGTAATTAGTTTAAATAAATAGTTTTCTTCTTAAAATTTAATTTGTTAAACCCACGAACATTACAATATATTTATCTCTATATGTAATATGACGATGGGTCGATTATATCTCTAAGCGTCCACCGTGTGCCTTTCTTGTTTGCATTCTATAAATTGGTGAATCGAAATTGTAAAGTCAACATTGTATTCTTTCGTGAATAATAAAAGTGACACATTCAACTTAGAAAGAACACGAGGTACAAACATGTCAAGTAACAGTGCGAGAAAAAAGAACGGATTCTTTTGAAAATCGGCTGTATACAAACAATATGTTTACACCATCGCTTTCTTGTTTGTTCATATAAAGAGCGTGTCCGGTTTTTTGTTCAAAATGCATAGGAAAGGAAATCCACAAACGCATATTATTAGCGGCGGGTGTATAGTCTAAAACTATTAGATTACATTTACGTCACCAATATAGTCAGTATAGCCCAAATGAATCGATCCAAAAAACTGGCATCAAAGGATACATTACATTAAGTACAATTAAGTAGGTTGAACATAAGTCAGAACATATTTCAATTTAATCGTTTTGTGCCGTTGATATCTAATGATAATTGGTCGTTTAATCATTTTGCAATTGAAGATTGAATAAAAAAAAATTGATTCGTAGACATCAAGCTTCTGAAACATTTAAGGTGCAATTTCACTGAGGCAACAGTAAACGAACATAAGACACGCAACTTGTTTTCTATGTCCCACAAAATTCAATAATGTTTAGTTTCTTACTTCATTATTTCACACCATGTCGCACGATACAAGTCGCATCGATCCGTTGACTATTGATATCGACGACATTGTTCAACATCACATTGAATAATGTCGTAAGGTAACGCGTTCAACTCAGCGACAAGAGTCAACTTGTCGCATGCGACAATGTGATTTGTTTTTTTGTCGGTTTGTATTCCTTCAACAAAAAGATCGAATGTAGCTTGCTGCATGTTACCTAAATGTTGCGTCAGTGGGATCGCGCCTTTAGGACCCACATTGGACTCCGTGGAGGCCCACGTGTGTGTAGGTCACTGACAAATAAACATAAAATTACAAAGTATTTTGTAATCGGGTTAAATAAACATAAAACCGACCAAAATAAATTCTGTCTACAACGTTTTGGCATATAAAAACAATAAATATAGTGTTAGAGATAGCGTGGTTTCTATCGGGTTGTTCGGAAAGTCATTTCGTTTTTCCCGACAGAGGATTTAATTGTATTCTTTTGCACCCAACTTCACATTTAAGCCGTATAATTTTTATATGCTTTGAGAGCTCATATAGCAAGGCTCGTGTGTGAAAAATTCCAATTAATTCTACGCAGTAGTTTTTGGCTGGTGCCCTTTTAAATAGGGAGAGCGATAAGCAGCATTTTCGACATATCTTACTGTTTTACTACAGAAAGGGTAAAAATGCTGTTCAAGCCAGAAAGAAATTGACTGATGTGTATGGAGAAGGTGTGTTGACAGTACGCCAGTGCCAGAACTGGTTCGCTAAATTTCGATCCGGCAATTTTGATGTCGAAGATGCACCACGTTCGGGAAGGCCGGTTGAAGCTGATAAAGACGCGATAAAGGCATTAGTTGATGTGAACCGGCGAATAACAACACGTGAGATCGGATTGAGGTTAAATTTATCAAATTCAACAGTTTATGACCACTTGAAAGGCCTGGGATTATCCTCGAAGCTCGATGTATGGGTTCCCCATGTTCTCACAGAGAGAAATCTGTGTCGCCGCATTGACGTCTGCGATTCGCTTCTCAAACGTCACGAAAATGATCCGTTTTTGAAGCGCATCATCACTGGGGACGAAAAATGGGTTGTATACAACAACGTCAAACGCAAGAGGTCATGGAGCAAAAAAGATGAACCGGCTCAAACCATTTCCAAAGCCGATATTCACCAAAAAAAGGTGATGCTGTCTGTTTGGTGGGATTTTAAAGGAATCGTTTTTTTTGAGCTTTTACCGGATAACACAACGATTAATTCGGAAGTCTACTGTCATCAGCTGGACAAACTGAATGATGCACTTCAACAGAAAAGGTCAGAACTAATCAACAGGAAAGGTGTAGTGTTTCACCAAGACAACGCGAGACCTCACACAAGTTTGGTCACTCGCCAAAAGCTTTTACAGCTTGAATGGGATACAATGCTACACCCACCATATTCTCCAGACCTGGCACCATCGGATTATTATTTGTTCCGGTCACTCCAAAATTTTTTAGACGGTAAAACCTTCACCTCAAATGAGGAGGTCAAAAACCTCCTCGATCAGTTTTTTGCCAGCAAAGACCAAAAATTTTATGAGCGTGGAATTATGCTACTACCAGAAAGATGGCAAAAGGTGTTGGACCAGAACGGTCAATATATAATTTAATAAAGTATTTGTTTATAATACGAAAACTGTCTTTCATTTCCACAAAAAAAAAACGAAATGACTTTCCGAACAACCCTATACATTTTTTTTATCTTGATGCTACCAATTTACTATCTAATTGTCTTTATTATGTTGTTCGCATGACGAATCTTAATAACAAACGGATCAGTTATTATTAGAGCCTCAATTATGCCGTTGTCTATGATCTCCTTTCGCTATCCTGGAGCATTCGTGCATTACCAGGCAAAAGCATCGGGCGTTCGTCATGCCTACCTCCTCATATAGGTAGTGGTAGTTCACCCCCTGAGCAAACACTACACCAACCGGTCTCAGCCTGCTTGCTGCATGGCTCCACGAAACTTGTCCAAACAATGTATGCTCATCAATCAAATACTAACTCTCGCCGTTACCACCACCCTCCCCCTAATTGGCTAGCTGACCAAACCGCGCGACGCTGACGCCGACGCCAGCAACGGTACGATCGATGCGATCAAAAGTAAGGAGCATACGTAATCCTAAAATGTAGCATCGTGCTACAGATGGCGTTTACTGCGCTATTTGTAGTATTTTCTAAAAGGCATTCAGAATGTTTAAACAAGAGCCTATTTCACTCATGAAGAGACAAGGACGTTCAAAGATTTCGAGTTATAGAAGCTACAGTATTTCGAACAAAGTTTTACAATAATTTCATCCATATGGATTTCATTTCATTTTTAAATCAGCTAAAAATGTGCTATCTCTATTTGTTTTTTTCTAATTGTTTAGATCAAACAAAAAAAAAAGAAACAGACATATAATCGTATAAACAACTGCTATTGTTTGTCTGCCTTTTGGGAAAGATTAATCCAGTTGACACTTGTTCGGCAAACGATTTAATTAAAGCGATAAAAAAAAAGAAAAAATAAAAAGAAAAAGGGAGCTGAGCCGGTAGCAGCAATCGCCAGCGCTTTATTTAAAAAGCTTAAAGGCAATTAATCCCCAAGTTGGCAGAATTAAAATTCATTCTGGTGCCTGAGAGCAAATATGTACCGTGTACACGAAAATCTGCTTGTAGGAACGTGCAAAGCAAAATTTCATAGAAAGCGTATTTGTTGAGCATACAGAACGAAAAGTACCCCCAAGTTTAGAGAGGTAATATTTACTGACAGTTATACATTTCCCGTTAAATAAATCGTGAACCAATGTTTCGTCCGACATAATTCGGGAGAAAGTTCCCAATAAATCGAACTACGCATTGGCTAATAAATTAGACCAATAAATGTCACAAGTCAATTATCGAAGTATCGACATTTATACCTATTATACAACTCCACGTGTAAGGGGATTTTCAATAGAACGATAGCAAACTATAACGATAATGTACGAAGATTTTTCGTTAGTTTGTCGTTACAGTATATATGTATATCAATAAATTTTAAAAAAAGTTTCTTCCCTTTTGTGTATTGCCCTTTTTAACGAGACACGCATAGGCCTGCTGATGCTAATAACAGAAAGGTCTGATCCAATTTTACAAGGATATTAAGTGATTTACCTATAAGAATTCTGCAATCCATCAGAGATTATTGTCAACACAGGTTTCATCTTTTGGTGACATTACCCAACAGAAACGAAATAAAATTCATTTTTGACATAAAAGAGGTTCAAAGATTTTGTATTTTAGCACATACAGGGGGTTGCTAAAATTATTACACGATTTTGAAATACTAATAATAATAATACAAGCGGTTTTACGATTTAATTGAAGTAAACAATTTAGAAAACTTTGGATAATATCTATTAACAGTTAATATATCGATTGACAAAGGAAAAATATACGTGGTGAGTGATAACTACTGGGACATACATGAATAGATATACATGAAAGTATATGAAAATTGGAGCAAAAATTATTATTTTCGTTTTTTGGTAATAATTTCACAAGATTGTCATAAATCATTTTAAAAATTGGCACAGATGTATTATTTTAGCCAAAAACTGTTTTACATTTTTTACAGGGGGCACCACATAAACGAAGATGAAATTGAGTAATTTCGATTATAAAACATGATATAAGATAAAATTGTTATAACTACTTGTTTCAAATTGGTAATTTTAATCGTTTTCGAGAAAAACGCAGTTAAACATTTCAGTTTTCATAAATTAATTTCAGAGTTATTATAATTTATACCTACTATTTAATACG